TAAACCACCAGCCCCTTGAGCTTCATGACACCACTGAGTCCTACCACTTTTGTCTCCCAAATTCCATCTGACATAAGAGGGTATTGACTATTAGACACTCCATTTTCTTATACACTTCCAATAAAGGAAAAGGGTCATCAAATCTAAGCCTTATCCAAATCTCAGAGATGAAAATATAAAACATGCCAGTCGAGATGGCACATGCTTGTGTTGCCAGCTATTCAGGAAGCTGATGCTGGAAGACGGCAAGTTCAAGGCCAGCCTGGGCAACTCAGCAAGACCCTGTCTCAAAGTAAAAAGGACTAGGGATGTAGCTCAGAAGTACAGCACTTGCTTAGTATGTGTCAGGCCCTGGATTCAATCCCCAGTGCCACAAAAAACAAAGAGAAAAAAATGATACATACACAGATAGATAGATAGATATAGGTATAGATAGATAGATATGGATATGGATATATGCAATATACATATGGATATATACATATATGTGAAGCACATCTATATTTCAATGTAATACAGTATATCTTAATCTTAAATCCTTCCACTCCCAGTGTCACCACCCCGTCAGACTCTCTTCATATGTCACGTAAGGCTCAGGAATCACTGTCTAACTAGTGTCCTTTACACTTGACCTCTCTATCTATTCTCTTCTCCACTATCAAAATGACAATTTCACAACTGATGATTTTCACAACACATTTCTGATCATACAATACGAATTTGATCATTGTTGGCTTCAAAGTCTTCATTGGCTTCCTGAGGCCTTAGAATAAAGGTCTAATTGCTTAGGGGGGCGTGCCAGCCCCTAAATGCACTGACTGCTGTCATCTGCTCAGTCTCATCGCTCAGCACCTTCTCAGTCAATTGCTCAGCCACAGCTGACCCTTCTCAATTCTCCATTTAGAATGCTCTGGCCCACTGCTCAACCATTCTTGCCCTGCTTCCTCTAGGAGCTCACCTCGCTTTCCTTTACCTGGCTCTCTCCCCCCTATCCACCAGTCCAGCTTGTATGTAAAGCCAGCCCTGCCCACCCACTCTCCCCTAGGAACAGGCATAATCCCTACTATGTGCTCCCATAGCACTCTGCACTTTGTCTGCAGGAAGTAGAGAGCACTTTGCCTGCAGAGCACTTTGCAAACCTGAAATGCTTTACTTCATTATTAGCTTAACTGTTGCCTTTCCAACTGGAAGTTCTATACCAACAGGGATTAATTGTAATCAGAACTAGTTCCATTTTCTAACATAGTATTTGGCACATATACATGAAGGTACACCATAATCGTCACTGATTAAAAAGAAAGAAAGAAAGAAAAATCTTGGATGATAGCTAATGCAATTGTCCCAATGTCTGACAGAAATTAGTACTTTAAGGTGAGTGGTTCTCAAAGTGTGGTCCCTGGAATATAATTTGCTGATAGACCAAGGCCTAAATCATATGCTCCACACCCTGATTTGGGGGACTGGCATCAGAATTCACCTGAATCACATGAGTTAAGAATGGGGGGCTGGGGCTGGGGCTCAGTGTCAGAGCACTTACCTAGCATGTGTGAGGCACTTGGGTTTGAGTCTCAGCACCCTGTATAATTAAACAAAATAAAATCCATTGACAACTACTACATATATATATATATATATATATATATATATATATATATATATATATTTTTTTTTTTTCTTTTTTAATGGGAGAGGGTCAGGGTACAGTGGCATACACCTGTTATGCCACTAACTGGGGAAGCTGAGAGAGGCAGACCACAAGTTCAAGGCCAACTTAGTAAGTTAGCAAGACCCTCAGCAATTTAGGGAGACCCTGTCTCAAAATTAAAATTAAAAAATAAAAAATAAATAGGAAACTGGGGATGTGGTCCAGTGATAAAGCATAAAAGTGCCTCTGGGTTCAATTCCCAGTATCAAAAAAAAAAATAAAAAGGAAAGAGGGGAGTGCCCCAGAAAGAATTTGGAGTACAATTAGCAAATATACAGAAAAAACAAAGGATAATCACTTACTACGTAAGCACATTGTTTTCTTACCCAGACAGAAAATAAATTCTGGGTTTGGCACACCAGAGACAACACTACCTGGATGATACACAACTGAATGTGGCGTGCTTCTTTAATGAGATTGATGGACCAAGTGAAGTTTCCATACTGAACACAAATACCTTAGATCACAAATACACTGGCAAGCAGAACTTCATAACAGATGTTCATACATTTTGGAGCAAAAGCTAAAATCCCTACTAAACATGGAAGATGTCTAGCTACACAAGCATCAAAAGAACGGAGTAGCCAGGCACAGTGGTACGCACACCTATACCAGCACCACACCCCTATACCAGCGGCTCAGGAGGCTGAGAAGGAGAATGGAGAGTTCAAAGCCAGCCTCAGCAACTTGGTGAGGTCCTAAGCAACTTAGCAAGACCCTGTCTCTAAATAAAATATAAAAAGGGGCTGGGGATGTGGCTCAGCAGTTAAGCACCCCTGAGTTCCATTCCTGATACCAAAAAAAAAAAAAAAAAGAATTGAGTAACAAAGAAGGCAGGCTCTGAAGGCTGGCTATCTGGATTTAAATACCAGATCCAGTTCCACATACTGCTATGGAGGACTCTCAAATTATAGTGAGAAGTGAGAAAATCAAGCTGAGTATTGAATAAGAAGCACAATGTGCTACCTTGCTGTTAAAGAGGGAAAAGAAAGAATCTACATCTGCATTTATGCATTTATAAGTGTACAAAGAAACTCTGGAAACAGTAACAATGGTTATAGTACATATGTTTCAGGAGGCAGTGAATAGCTGCCAAGGTCACAGAGATTTTCTTTTTTCATTATTATTTTGATTTTGAACCTCATGAATGCATCACTTGTTCAAAACGAGAAATTACTTTTTAAAGGAATGAGAGGTAAATAGACACTTCCCAGATATTGCTGATTATTTCAAGAATCCGTGTTTCACCTATAAAATGAGAACAATTGTACCTCCCTCCAAGGGCTGAGATAAAAATTAAGTAAGCAGTCGCATGATGCTGGGCACCCAGGAAGCGCTTAATAAAGGTCAGGTTCTATGCTGCTGATTTTGATGAGTGAGAATAATATAAGAGACAGGCTGCTGCAAATTAAGAGAACTGACAAAGAGTGTCCTTGATGGAACTTCAGACACACTCCTCGAGCCCTCTATTCTGCAGGCCTCATCCTGGGCCCTGTCTCCAGCCAGCCTTGTTCAGTTTCAGCAAAAAACCTGCTAAGTCAGTCTATTGGGAATCCTCCCACCCTGGCTCTAGGTATCTGATCACATTGGCCAGCCTTTGACAAGAACCCTGTTAGGTCTGTTTAGCAAGAATTCCTGCTCCCCACCCCCTGTGCCTTGGTAACTTTCCACCCTCTGTCCTCCTCCCCCACCTCGGAGCCTGGCTATCAGTGCCCAGCTGTCTTTCTTATTCAGTGGAGCCTGATCTCCCTCCCCTCTTGTGACAGTCGTAACACCTATCACAACAGTCCTGAATACAGCTTGCCCATTTTGTAACACGTGTCAGAATAACATTTTTTGCTTTAGCAGGATGAGCATTTAAATAAACCCCATAATTAAGCTTTCTATGGTTTTTATGCACATAAGTGTTATCTGGCCATTTGTAACAGGTGTTCTCCAGGTAAACATCCCCCAGGGCGCCAGCATTTCATGGCAGAGTCCCCAGCTGGCCCGCCTGGCTCACAATTTGAAATTCGTAATGAATTTTCCCACAGACATTATCGCCTAAGACACAGTCTCAGGAGTTGCTACCAATTGCACTATGGTCTGTTAGGATACACTGTGGATTAATAGGCTTTATGTACTCGGATAAGCTGTGAAACACTGTGGATTAAACAGGCTTTATGAGTTCACTTTAGAACCTGGAGACTTTTTTTCTAATGTGGTTCCTATGAGAAAATCAGTTCCAAGGCACAGGAAGCCCAAAAGCTAGGAAAACACAAGCCTGCATCTCCCCCTCCTCATCCCCTCACCTCCACCCACCCTCCCCAAAGCAGCCAGCATTAGAAAGGAAGCCCAGGGCCACAGAGGAACCCTGTTCTCCATCACTGTACCATGCTCCTCAGTGTTGGGGGGAACCGCAACCCCCTACCACCAACTGGCCACCCACCAGAGAGCCCAGGCGGTCATTGTCCCTGCTATTCACTTCTCACACAGTACTGCAAATCCAGTACTGCTCCTCGCCCTCATCAGATACTGGAGACCTCAGCCCCTCCATATCCCTGTGCACAGGTTCCCCCCAGGCCTCACACAGTCCCACCCACTGTGATCCCCTCTGCAAAGGAAACGTGTTTCTCAACCCACCTTGCCCTGTCCCACCTCTAGTGCTTCCCACACGTTCTTATTCCCTTCTCCCAGGACTCTGTCCAATCTGGGCTTTCAGGAATCCCATTGATCCAAAGCCCAGCTCAGATCCTGCACTCGCCTCCTTCAGCCCTGGATCAGGAAACCAATTTCCTGTCTCACTTTCTTTCCTTCTGGAGTTCCTGGAGAGCCAGGGCAAGCACCCCAGCACACACACACCACACACACACACACACACACACACACCAGACATCTATCACACATACACCACAAACACAACGCAACACTTGCACATACATACACCCCCCCCCACACACACACACACACAGCTCATTATGAATGAAATAGGGATCCGTGGTCTTGTGTCTCCCTGAGTCAAAAAGGAAGCAGAGGGATGTTACAGGACAATGTCTGTAACCCATTAAAAAAAAAGGGGAAGGCTGGGGGTGTAGTTCAGTGGTAGAGCACCTGCCTCACATGCACTAGGCCCTGGGCTCCATCCCCAGCACTGAAGAAAAAAAAAGTGAAACAATGTCCATACCTAAGCAAAAGTTAAATACCATAGAAAAATAAATCAAGATGTAAACAGGACACTATTAAGTCAGAATCACAACACTTCTAGAACCATCAGCATTTAAATATAGAAAAGACAGCCGGGTGTGGTGGCACATACCTGTAATCCCAGTGGCTGCAGAGGCTGAAGCAGGAGGATCTCAAGTTCAAAGCCAGTCTCAGCAACTTAGTGAGACCATAAGCAACTCAGTGAGATCCTGTCTCTAAATAAAATGCAAAAAAGGGCTAGATGTATCTCAGTGGTTAAGCCTCCCCAGGGTTCAATGCCTAATACTAAAAACTGCTCCAACTTTTAACATAAATAAAGGACAACAACTTTCTTTTCTTTTCTGTGATCCTCCTATCTCAGGCTCCCAAGCCACTGGATTACAGAAGTGTGCCACCACGCCTGGTTTCTTCTGAGATGGGTCTTGCTATATTGCCCAGGCTGGCCTCCAATTCAAGGGCTCAAGTGATCCTCCTGCTTCAGCCTCCCAAAGTAGCTGGGCTACATTGCTTGCCACCATGCCCACCTCCAGACAACAATTATTTTGCACTAAGTGGCATGCCCATGAAAAGTGTTTCCAAAGAATCACTTCATTTCATTCCCATAACAGCCCAATCATTATCTCCATTTTGCACACGAGGAAACTGAGGCTCAAAGCAGTAGCTTGCACAGGGTCTTGGAACAAGCAGGGCAAGAGTTAGGATTTGAACTCCAGTAGCACCTTTTCCAGATTCAACCTCAATTACTAAGTATAATTTCTAATATATCTGTAGGTTGAGGAGGGCATAGGTGGCAGCTCACGGGAGATAACACTCCCACCAACGTGCATTTCTAAGACCCCCTGAGCACCACTCTTGCCTGACTCTGAGTTGCGTTACATAACACAGCAAACTCAGGAGCTAGGTATGAACAGAAACCCATACAAGTCAAATAACTTGGTCAAAGTGACTCAGCTCCAGGGAGGAAGGCTGTTTTCAAAGGTAGGCTGTTCATGCTCATGAATCCCTGCTGCAAGGCTCCCCCCTGCCCTCCAAGCTCCCGGGCAGTGTGGGATTAGAGACCTCACCCCTCTCCAGCTCTGAGACTGGTCTGAACACACTCCAAACAGCCAGCCAACTGTTAAAAAAAAAAAAAAAAAAGACACTGCCTTACCCAGGAAGTGGGGATAAGATCACCTACTCACTCACTGCCTGACCCAGGAGGTGGGATAAAAGTGGCAAAAAGCTAAATTAAATTAAATGAAAAAAATAGTTCCCGACATACAATAGCATTCACTGACAGCTATTAGAGACGACCTTTTCCCTTTTAATCTATTCCATTTTCTTATCAAACTGGATCACCCTTGTTCCTTTTTAAAATAACAGCGTTCTTCTGATACACGTGAGTCAGTAAAATGCAAAAAGAATAGAATGAGATGAAGTTGGGGGAATTTACTTTTTTCCCCACTGGGCATCCTCCTCCCCAAACACTTTTTTAAAGGAATTATTTAGTGCTCAAAATGCCACCACAATGCTTTATAAATAAAAAGCATACCAAACAAATAACGGAGCCCTGGCCCTGGGGAGTTCCCATCTAGGCTCCGTTCACATGTGCAAAGTGCTTCAGAGCCTAATTAACATCTCGGGTTTGTTTTCTCAAAATCCAGCCCATTGTTTCCCCAGTGAGCACGATCCGAAGCCTTAGCCCACAACGCGCTACTGCCTGCATCTTCCTGCCAATAAAACCGCTTAAACCACCAGAGGTTTAAGCAATTAATATTAGATGAAACCCCACCGCGGCGCGGATCCGCGGCCCCCGCAGCCCTGCGCGCCCCGGGCTGCGGAGTTGGAGGAGGAAGGAGCCGCAGCGCGGGCCCAGGCACCCCGGGTGGAGGCGGGTTGTCTCCCCCTGCGGGGCGAGCTCTGGCAAAAGGAAACCGAAAATGAGCCAGGTTTATCTGGCACTCTCTTGCCTGCAAGAATCGCGTCTATACTGTAAAAATCCATTAAGGATCCAGCTGGGTCTTTTGCACTGCCATTGTTAGTGCGACTTCACACACTCAAAGACTGTCCTGATAACGGGACCAGTTAGAAAAGTAACGCTCTCCCCAAGGGAAGTCAGGAAGTCAGGATATTCCCGGTTCTGGGTCCTAGAAACCCACTGACAGCCAATGAATGCCCCTTCTCTCGGTTTGGAGGTGCATCTCCAAGCTCGTTCCCAGCACCCGGAGTCTAGCCTCCAGCCCTGGGCAGATTTTAACACTACACGCCCATCTCTGGGGGAGGCCAGGCAGGGAAGACGGGTGGAGGAGTCAAAATTAGAACCCATGTCCTTTTTGCCTTTCGGGTAAGAATTCTTGCATTGCAGACGCACTTTGTGCCTGATTTTACTCGAAGATCTTTACAGAAGCCAGCTACAAACTCCACATCAGACCTCCCGGAGCCCCCTGTCTTACCCCAGCGGGAGCCAATGAGAAGTTGCTGCCCTTCCTTTGCTGGGCCTAGCACAGCTGAGGACTGGCCTTGCCCCGCACAGTCCTGAGGACTGGATTGCAAGACACACCCAGCACCACTCCCGGGAATTATCCTGTTCCGGATTTTCATCGCACCTTGCACTCTGGTGTGAAAGGAGAAGCGCTCTTTTCTAAGGCCACAAGAGCTATTTCTCACTGTGTGAGTACCTACTGGGATTCCCACTAAATAAAACTGCTTGATGATGACCTAATTTGTTCATTCAAGAAGATATATTTCCCCTACCCATATATTATTGTTGTTATGGTTTCCGTTGTTGAATTATACATAAAAGGGCCAAGCGGCACCAAGCCTATTTTAGAAAAGAAGCCATTTTCAGTACATGAATCTTAATGAGATCCTTATTTGAAAATTTGTGCCTGAGGAGATGCGTTATTTTACTTGCTTCTGTATGTCTTCAACTCTGTGTTATCCTAAAAGTATTGTTTTTGTTTTAATATTGTGTGGCACACACATATCATTCCAGTGACTCTGGCAGCTGAGGCAGGAAGATCCCAAGTTTGAGGCCAGTCTGGTGGACTTAGCAAGACCCTGTCTCAAAATAAAAATTTGTAAAGGGCTGGGCATGTAGCTCAATGGTAGAGCACTTGCCTAGCGTGTGAGGTCCTGATCAATCTTCAGTAGTAATATAAGACCCTGGGCAAGCTACTGCTTTGAGCCTCACTTTCCTCGCGTGCAAAATGGAGATAATGATTGGCTGTTATGGGAATGAAGATAGTATTTATTTTACAAATAAAATTTGTAAAATGTATTTTCTTGTTACATGTTCATGGTTATTCACCACTTGAGACCTGTTGGTTGTCTTTTTTGACCTTAGATTACTTTTTGGTGACCCCCACCCAAAAAAATAGTGTAATTAAAAGAAGTTCTCCAAAATGACATAGCATGTCGTGCCATTTACCCTTCAAAACACCATGGTTTTTATTCTCTTTTGTTCTTGACTTCCTAGTCCACTTTTCCTTTATAATAATAGTCTTTTCAAACATAAGTGAATTTACAAGCAAGTACTTCTCAAGGTGTGGTCCTTAGAACAACAGACTTGCAAGATCTAATGCATTTAGGAAACAGGAACATTCTCTCCTCCGGGGTTACAAACCTCACTGAAAGTTCCCATCAAGAAACCTGCTGAATTGACTTGGTCCAGAGTTTCCTACGTTTATGTGCACATGGATTCTTTTCCAAATAAGAGTTATTAATATGCTATGGAGCTTATATTTCTAAGATTACACTTTTGGAAATTGCTTTTTAAAATCATCTAATATGTGGAATAAAAATATTTTTAGGTCAAAGAAAACTATTAAGATGCAGCCTTGTAAGCCAATTTTTTTTAGAGAATTAAGAAGATCTTACTTGCTGTTTATGAATTTCACAAATCTATTTCTGTGGTTTTTGGGTTTTGGTTTTGGTGAGGATGTATGTGTGTTGGTGTGGTTTCTGTTTGTTTACTTTTGTTTTAATCTTTCAGGTTGTTGATTCCAAGAAACAAATCAGATGTGTGGGCACCATGTTAGAATCCTGAAATAAGAAATGGTGAAGAATAGCCCTTTTTCCCTTGTGGAAAAACTATAACCTAAAGTATGGTACATTCCACTTTTGTTGAGTCAGCCTCTCCATGAGCCCCCAACACACCTGGAGTTTTAAAAAATAGTCCCCTAGTTATAGACTCCGGCAGTGTTCTTGGAAGTGAATTCGGTGCTCAGGAGAGTGGGCCATCCAGTCTAAACCTATTCTATTGCGCTAGTCCCAGTCTTTCCCCCAAAAGACAACCCTGTAGCAGGCAGACTCCTAACTGGTCAAAGATCTGCATGGTTGACAAGTCTTCTGTGTACTTTTTTCCCCTTGTGACAGAGCTAACAGAAGGGGGGGGAGGCACAAACATCACCCTTGTGAAGGAAACAGACAAACTAGCAGACTAAGGGCTGTTCAAACTGTGACCCATCTGGACGCATTTTTATCCAATGAGACCTTTTATAAAAGGAGCTCCAGGTGTGTCAAGCACCTGGACTAATAGGAAGAGGGGAGTAGCCAAATGAAAGAGGTGGCACTTAGTCCTACCCAAGAGACCTTGCAGAGGGTGAGACAGGATTTACTTTAAAACACCTGACAGATTGCCTTCCAATGTCCCTGCCTACCCATAACACCCCGTAGCGCACTTTCCCCCCTACCCCACAGAGTCAGGCTCAGAAGGCCACATGGATACAACTAAAGGATGACATTTGTTTCATATTGCTCTCAACACTTAGTGGAGGGAAAAGAAAACAGATTTCTGTAAATCTGTAAATGCAAACTGATTGATTGACTGTCCAATGGTCCTTCTAAAGTTACTTATTATGAGAGAATCAGGACTCAAAATGCAAATACTTTGTTCCTGTTTTACCCCAGAAAATTAGTTTACATTTCAAGGGAGCCTCACATTTGGAACTGGACTGTGAAAAATGAACGAAAACAGGCTAGAACTAGTTCACAAATTCTATTCTACCCACAAAATTTGCTTCCCTTCTGTTGATCTTTGTCAAATGTCACCCGGCCCTTTTTATCCATCATCTTCTCCCACACAGAGCAGCCTGAAACTGTGAAGGGGTGTGTGTGTGTGTGTGTGTGTGTGTGTGTATTTTTCTCTCAATTATCTAACAATTGAGAATTTGCAGAAATTTTTAAAAGGAAAGGAAATGAAGACAAAATATATCTCATGAAAGTCCATAGAGTGATTGTTTTTTAGAGATCTGATGCTTGCTTGTTTAAGATTTAAGCAGAGGCTTAATTTCATCACTAAAAATTACTATATCACAACATATACCATTAAATGAGGGAGTCTATCCCAACAAATTTCATTGCCATCAGCCATATTAATACCCATAATCTGCTCCTTCAAAAGTTGATGATTAAACTGGTTATATATATTTTTAAAAAGGTATAATTATCCACTGTGCATTTAGTTAAGAATACATAGCATTCATCTACCTCCTAGGTCCTCACTCACAGAAAATGAAAGTGATACTTAACTGTCAAAATAAAACCCCTCAGAAGCCTTATGTGCAAAACAACTTCCTCTTTCTTTTGATATATTCAATCCCCTAAGGATCAGAAGAAATGAAAGAGATCTTTCAGGTTGTTGGTTCCAAGAAACGAAAATATTTTCCTGTTCAAAATAAGTAATTTCTTTATGGCAGTCTAGAAACAAGTCAAACAATGATACTGTGCAGTCAAATAAAGTACTAATCCCAGGACAGGACATACTATAAAATCTTCAATTTTATAGTATGTGAGAACCTTTGATTCAACAATAACACACTCTGTCCTTGGCTCTCAAGGTGCTCAACTCCCTAACAAATGCAATATCAAATGTCTCTCAATTTTTTTGACTTTAAAAGTCCAGGATTCTTCATTCAATCTCACTCTACTCCTACATGAAGACTTTGGACAGTTTGATGCGACAGTACATCCACAATCTATCCAAACTGAAGCCAGATTACTGAAGGGATCTCAGGTCTTCAATTTTACTGGTAAAAGTTCTCTGAGGTCAGGAAAATGGGGCTGCTGCAGGTTGGTGTTTATGCTGCCACCTGTTGGCCTTACAGGGAAATACATCACAGGTTGTAATCATATTTTATTTGTGTTAGCATCCCTAATACTTCTGATGTTGGGGGAGTGAAGCTCACAGACATTTTGGGGAGTATTACGAAAGCCTGGGCTCTCTCCCTAGAAAAAAATAAAAACACTTATACAGAAGATTTTTGCAGACAAATTTGAGCAACCTGAAGCTCATCCGCACGACTATTTTCTAAACTACAAAAATCAGATCATACTCATTTTTTATGTTGTGGCAAAAATTCTGTAAAATGGGAGAAAGTGAGCATTCCTGAAGGATGATTAGACTGTGAGGTTATTCAGAAGAAAATTTTAACCTCAAATGATTTTTTTTAGTTCAAAATTGGTAGTTAACTGCAAGAAAAAAAAAAAAAAAACTTTAAACTTTCTCTGTAGCCAGAAACGTTTGGATTTCATTTCAAAGTTAATCAATGGGAAAGGCTCTCTGGGAATTCTGGGTGGTATTTCCAACAGAAACATTATGCTTTTGACACCTCAGTTGTTGATATCTTAAATCCTCCCATCTTTGAGTTTTGGATCAGGTGACAGGGCCCGGTGCACATGGTCTGTTTATTTGTTTAGCTTCTAGAAATGTCTTCAGTGTTAATGTGAATATTTTTGAAGCACAGATTACACGGAGCTGTCAGCTGCCTTTAAGATGTTTTGAACATAAGCCAGTACTCTCTGAATCTGGAGGCCTCCCTACCCCACCCCCAAAATGAAGCCTTTTCTACCTATAGAAGAGAGACTGGCTGAGTCCTTGGAGCATCTGAAATACAGCTCACACTAATGTGCCCAGTCTGCCTCTCTAATGGAGTGATTGGCAGACACCTAAAGAAGTATCGATTGGTCCAGTTCATCCAATGCGCTGGTCCTTTCGCCTGTCAATGTGACCAAGGTATTAGCCCAACAGCACTTGCAGCCCTATTCGCTTCCCTTTCATAAAATTAGCCCTCCATCTGGAGCTCCCCCTGATAGGGGCTGCAGGCGTGGGGAGTCAGCAACATACAGTTTTAGAACCCAGCCCCTGAGTCTGCCTGGGGGAGCAGGGTCTCCCATCTTGCTTTCTATCCTCATTAAGTTTGAATTTTATCTTTGCCAGTACTCTCATAATTCTCAGACGGTGTGTTATTCCATCAACACACAATATTTTCTCTTGAAAAATAAATCATCGTCGTTTTATGGGAGAAAAAGATTCCCCAGCGCACTGCCAGCGTCACCACCAGCTCACAACAATTTGCCAGATTCCTGCCTGATGAAGCAGCGAGCCCTAATAGTGTGGCTGCCGCCTGGCTCTGGAAGGTTTCAGGAGGTTTGACATTTTATTAATGTAATAAAATGTAGCTTTTACAGTTATCTACACTACGTAATTACAAATGCATATTATTGATATTATCAGTGCGATGCTTCAGTTTACTTTTCCATTAAATAGAAACTC